CTCATTGGAGGGGGCTTTTCTGCCCCAAATGACTATGGGAAATAATGTCATAGGATTGCAGTCTCCTGGCCCTCGGGCTGGGAGAAACCTCGGGGGTCAGCCAGTAGACCCCTTTCAACTTTACAGAGAAGGAAATGGAGGCCCAGAGAATGCCCTGCCCAGGGTCACATAACCCTTAAGTGACAAACAGGGTTTGAGGCCAGGGCTCTTCCTGCTTCCTCATCACCGGCTTCAGTCAGAGGCAGAGTCACATCCATGACATCCTCATCTGCCACATCCCCCAGCTAGGTTGGAGCACATCACTCACCTGCTGAAACCTGCCATGGCTCCCACCACCCCATAGGAGGAAGACACACCGATTCTTCCAGGCCAGCCCCTCCCTTCCATGTGGCCTCAGTCTGCCTTTTCAGCATTTTTGGGGGCCCCGGGGACTGATTTGGTTGCAGAAGCCGCACATAGCTCTGGAATGCCTTCCTGGCAGTGGCCTCAGGAGGCTGCTCTCCCTTGTACAGACCCGGGCCCCCGGAGCTGGCCTGACCATCTACCAGGTCACTTCCCTGAGCTCCGGGGTCCCTGCTGTGGTCCTCCAGACCCACCGCACCTGCTCTCTCCACATGTGACATGCCTGCATGAACATTTTCAGCATTTTACTTAGCTCGGCTCTCAGAAGTGCCCCCCCCCCACATCCAGACTGTCCTGGATTAAAACTCAGCCATCTCCAGGGACTGGCTGTGATTTCTTCTTTCTGTCTGCCCCTAGGGTTTCTCTTTACTAGGAAGTAGCATTCCTCTGTCCTGGGAGTAACTCACACTACCCAGGCAAGGTCATCCCCCTCCTCCACATAGGCTCCAAAGAGACGAGGAACCCTCAGGCCATCCCAACAAGCCAGGTCAGAAAGTCTGTAGAAAAACCTCTCTGAAAAATCCCAGAGTTCTCTACCCATGTTACTTTCCTGGTCAAGAAAATTCCAATGACTGCCCAGTGCCAGCCCGGAAGACAAAATGTAAACACCGAAAGGTCTCTGGGTTGGGCCCTTGGAGACCTTCCCAGTGTGGCTCCGGCCTGCTCCTCCAGCCTGCTCCTCCAGCCTGATAAACGTTGATCCCTTTCAGCTGGAAGGACCTTTACAGAGTATTGAGGCCAGCTCCCTCGCTACAATTTTCTCTTTCTTTCACCTGCCATTGAAAACACAAACTTTTGTGATGAGTGTGCACAAACAAATCATTCCCACCTTGGTGTGTACCTGAGCCCATTCCTGTCAGGTGGAGAGGAGGCTTCACCATCAGCCCTCTGGTGTCTTGGGTCAGACATGTCCAGCTCCCACTGAAGCAGATTAAAATGTAAGTGGGAAGTATTTAATAGGACAAATAAAAATTGGTGGTTTTCTAAGTAAATAAACTGCCCATAAGGAGCAATTTCTGTTTGAGCCATCAGTGCATTGCTCAGAGTTCTCGTCTTTCAATATTGTTACTGTGTACCCTGTTTCCTGGTTCTGCATCAGTTCATACAAGTCTTCCCAGGCTTTTCTGAAACCATTCCCCTCATCATTTCTTACAGAGCAGCAGTGTTCCACTACAACCACGTGCCACAGCTTGGTCAGCCACGCCTCAATCAATGGGCATCCTCTCAGGTTCCAATTCTGTGCCACCCCGAAGAGCTGCTAGAAACATTTTTGTGCGTGTGGGTCTTTTTCTTCTTCGATCCTCTTTGGAGCACGGACCTAGAGTGTTACTGAGTCAAAGGCTAAGCACAGAGTGGGCTTTAGGGGGCGCAGCTCCAGATGGCCTCCCAGAAGGGGATGCGCAATAGCCCCTCCCTCCCAGGTTGTCATGGTGATCAAACGAGACAACATTTGTAGTGTTTGGCCTAGCACCTGGACACACAACAGGGGCTCAATAAGTGCTGCTTCTTCCCCTTTTAACCAAGAAGACAAACAGTTCAGCCAGACTTAACCAGCAAACCCAAGAGCTTCCATTCCCTGTGATTTCCCACGCCCATGGGCCCTCCCCTTCACCAATGGGAGGCGTGTCTTCCATCTCTGTTCGGGTCCTACCGTGGCTGCTTCGGTGGGCTTCTTCCCTGGCTCTGCTGGCTTGGCTTTGCATCCGTTCTCGTCAGTTCTTCCACGCTTCTTAGTTGTCCTTGTCTGATCTTTTCAGTCTCGACCAGCCTGGCCAGGGAATCCTGGATGAATGGGATGGCAGGACCCAGAGATGAGGAGACGTCGACATAGAGTAATTTTCACAAAATAGAAGATCCCGACTTCTCATTCTAGTTTCCTTTTTCTACCGAAGTCTTGAGTTCCAGGTCTTTAGGGGAAGAAGGAGACAGTTTTGGTGTAAGTGCATGGCAGCTTCCTCGGCTTAGCCCAGTGCCTGGCACGAATGTTTGTTGATGAGCGTGCGCAGCCGAACTTGGCTGGTTAACATGGAGAATGGAATGGGCCCTGTAGAAGTGAGCGGTTCAAGCACAATGCAGAGCCTTCTGATGCTCTCTGCTGGGAGGGTTTAGGAGAATGATGCCCTAAAGGGTAAGAGGACCACAGGGGGGTGTCACCCAGAGAAACAGAAGAACAGGAGGACTCCTGGGGTTGCTGCAGAAGGTCAGTCTTCTCCAGGGGCCCCTAGGAAGCCATAGTCCTTTGCAGATTGAAACCCCCACCTGCCTCCCCTGCGTTAATATCTAGAAAAGTCAAGGAATGGGAAGATTTGGGTGGAGAATGGGAGACTCGGCTCAGTCACTTTCCATCTGTGGGCTTGGGCTGGGTCTGCTTCCTGCTCCGTAAACTGGAAGATTACACTACATGGTCTTCCTGGTTACTTAGAACTGAACCTAGGACTCAAGTCATAGAGCTTGAAGTCTGCCTCAGGGCCTCAGGAGGGAAGCTGAAGTTCCCCCTCATGCTCCGGGGGACTGAAGCCCCTATGACAGGTTGGGTTCAGGCTGATGAGGCCTTGGAGAAGGGACCACCAAGAAGCAGCAGCAGCAGTGCAGAGCAGATTTTACTGATGGTAGGTCAGGAGCGAGTGTGACCAGAGGGGAGTTTAGTTAGCCTGGAGAGGAGGCTGGGCACAGCTCAGCTCCAGCAAAGGTGTCTCTGGTTCCCTGAACTTCCAGGTCTTTAGAAGTGTGAAAGAGCCGAAAGAGACTTGAAACAGCCTTGGCTTGGCCTCCCTTCTCCCATTCCTGCCTCGGTCTTCCCCGAGGATGTCCTCAAAGGGTTCTCCTGATCTGGAGGCTATCCTCCAAGTCGTTTCATGTCTATGCAGCCTGTTGGGAATCCCACACTGTCACCCAGGAGCTGGCTCCCTGTCTGAGCCCAAGAGTCCCGGCTGAGACCTTCGGATGGGTTGGGGGGCCTGTGTTGCCCACACCTACGTCCACCCTTGGGGGATCCCTTCTCTCCCACCGGATTAAATGCTGCATCCGTCCCCAGGAAGAGCCTTTGAGGCAGGAGCGATCTTCTTTTGTTCATTTGTATGTGCTCAGTGTTTGTCATGGTCCCTTGAATATATCAAGTGCTTGTTGAACAAATGAGTGAGTGGACGTGACGGGAGCAGGTTTTCTGGGGTCTCTCTGTGGCTTCACAAGCTGGGCAAGGCCTAGTGATGAGTAGAACAGAAGGGTAATGGGAGCTGGAGGTGGGTTTTGCTTCTGTGCCTGGGTGGGGATGGGTCAGAGGGGCGCTGAGGCCATCCTCTCCTGGCACCATTTGATCATGGCACTCAGCTAAAAAATGGCACCCATGGCCCCTGGGCCTACACAAAAGGATCCCCTGTTCTTTACCTAATTGTGCAGGGCTACTTGGGGGAACAGACCAGCAAATAAAGCTGTTTCCAATAAAAATTTCCTGTTTCCTCCTTACACATTTGCAAGCTGTTTGCTTGAGGAAAGCCAGGAATAAAGGCTTCATTGTGCCACCATTGTATTTTTAGAATCCAAAGGCATTTTTTTGTCCTTTGGAGAATGGCTCCCAACATGACCCTCTTCCCATGCTTGCTGTCCACACCCACACCTCCAGAGTCCGGGAGGATCTCTGGGCTCCTTGGGCCGAGCAAGCCTCTGATGGGGCCTGAGAAATGGTAAGAAATAACTAATTTCACATAAAAACCAAGCTTTTGTCTGATAGAAATAACTTTGTGGTGCCAAATTAGGGCAAAGGTTCTGCTTGTCACTTGAGGAGCCCTCATTTCCCCCATTACAAAATTCAGTATTGGGCATTGTCAATTTATTGGGGAGCTGGTTCTAAACTGAATTAAATGAACGACCCACTGAAAACTACTAAGTTTTAACTAGGTGCTCAGGACCGGGATAAATCCTGGGGGCACCAACAGAAACAAGGAAGCTAGCCTTGCTCTCAAAGCGCTCTCTTTGGGAAAGATAACTCGTAAAGGACAGTTGTAGGACAGATGGGGGAGCCTGGAGTCCCCGAGGTGAAGAGCACGGCCTAGGAGCCCCACATAACCCCAGTGAGGCACAGGACAGCGATGGGAGAGGCCGGGTCTAGAGGCGGGGTGGATGGCAGGGGACATGGCCTAGTGGTCTCTTCATGTCACCCCCCGCCCCATAACTCTAACCGTAATTACATATTTGAGACGATGTCCAAGAAACCTGAGGTCTTCCTCTGTGGTTATGCTAGGTTTGAGCCTCCACGGCCACTGGCTTTGTCCCTTCACTCCACAAATATGCTGAAGCCTGCCCAGGCCGAAAACCCTTCTCCTGGCCCTTTGGACTTTCTCCCCAGATCTCTTCTCTCTCCTCCCCTTGATCGCCACACCTACGAACACGTTATCTAGGCATCAGCAGCAGTCTCCTCACCTCTCCGTCTCTGTCCTCGGCCAGCCCCTCGCCGTGAGCCAGGCATGCTGCTGACAACCGCAGCCATCCTCGATGCCGGGCCGGGGCCTTCTTTCCTCTCGGTCTTCTTCCCGCTCCTTGAGTGCTGAAGGTGGGTGAGCCTTCCAGGACTAACCAGGCGTCTTGTCTCTGTTCCCCTGCAGAAATCGAGGCCAAAGAAGCTTGTGACTGGCTGCGGGCAGCCGGCTTCCCTCAGTATGCCCAGCTATATGAAGGTGAGTGGGGAGCGGGCACAGGGCTTTAGACAGCAGAGTACCATCATAAAAGAATCGGAGAGGCCACCTGTTCTGATCGACAGAGAGCTGGCCTTCAGGGCAGGAAGATTTGGGTTCTGGTCCTTGCTCTGACATCTTGGCCTTGGAGCCCTGGACAAGTCATTCACCTCTGTGCTCCAGTACCCTCTCTCTCTCTCTCTTTTTTTTTTTTTTTTTGGCTGGGCAATGGGGTTAGCTAGTAAGTGTTGTGTCTGAGGCCAGATTTGAACTCAGATATTCCTGAATCCAGGGCTGGTGCTCTATCCAGGCCCCTCTCTTAAGAACATTGGCAGGGGGATCCCAAGCTGCAGACTCAATGCTGCTCATAGGAATGCTCCTGCCTGCCTGCTTTGAGACCAGGAAAACAAAATCAGGCTTCTGTGGAGGCCTGTGGCCAGAGGGATTTCTGACTGGAAGAGCCGTCATTGGGTCTCTGCCAGAGATGCAGTGACTGACAGGCTGTTTTTCAGCTTTTGTCCTGGGCTTTTCTACCTTTTTCCTTGTTGTTTCCCCTATCACCGAACCCTCACTCACTCACTCTGGGGCCCAGATTGACATTCACAGGGGTGACCAAGACCTGTCCTCCTGTCTAAAATGAGGGCCCCCTCAGGACCTCCAAAGTGAGTCCTCCTGCTTCCCAAAGGCAGAGCCTATGCCAGTCTGGTGATGAGCCCGGCCCCTGCTCTCTCTCAGGCCGGCCAACTGCCTCCTCCATTTGACCTCCATTCCTGCCGAATGGCATGGGGGGGAGAGAAGCAGTGGAAGGTCTTGCGCTTGGCAGCTTCCCACATGTCATGCTAAAGATCCCAGCCCTGGGGGACATCTGGGTGGCACCAAAACTGGAATCAGGAAGACCTGAGTTCATATCTCAGATACTTCCTGGATGTGTGGCCCTAGACAAGTCACTTCTGTCTGCCTCAGTTTCCTCATCTATAAAACTAATTAAATGATAAATAATACCCATCTCCCAGGGATGTTCTGAGAATCAAATGAGATAATAATTGTAAAGTGTCTAGCCTACGGCTGGTACATATTAGGTGCTGGCTATTTAAATGTCAGTTGCTATTATCATCTTCATTATTATTACTGCTAGAGGGGATCTTGACCCACCCCAGTCCTGCTTTCTGCCCCTGGATGAAAGACACACATACACACACACACACACACACACACACATACACACGCACAGTGGCTCCTCCTCTCCAGTGTGGCTTAGACTTCACTTGCTCTCTATCTTTTGGGAGGATGCTGCCGCAGCAGCCTCAGTGGCCTCAGGCCTGGTGGGCCCTCCCAGCATGTGCCAGCTGCTTTCACAAAGCCTTGTCTCTTGCCCTCTGCAGATTTCTTATTTCCCATTGACATCACTCTGGTCAAGAGAGAGCATGACTTCTTGGACCGAGATTCCATTGAGGCCTTATATCGGTAAGTGGGAACCCTGGTGGGCTTCCCCCTTCCCAGAGAGGCCAGAGTGGGTGGGGGGAAGTGTGTCTTGTCCTGCGCAGGCTCAGCCCTCTCAGGCGGCCCTCACAGCCGAACCGCGACTTGTTTGTATGGATCCCAGGCTGTTTCCTGCCCGATGACATTCAGGGGCCAGAAAAGTCTCTCCCCCCTCCCAAACCAAGGACTTGTATAGAGGTCACCTCGATTCGCTCACACCTGTTCTAAAACTTGGGTTGCTTCTGCCACTCAGAGCAAGAGGCCTCTTTCCTGAAAAGGGCTGGGGTAGAGCATTTCCTTAGTTCCATTAATTGGGGGCAGGGGTGGGCTGGGGAGGGGGATGCCCCTCTCAAAGAGGCTTAGTGTTCTGCCACTGAGGGGTCGGGGCCAGGAGGAAAGAGCTCTGGAATGGGGACTAGATCAGGGTGAATTCCCCCCCCCGCCGCCATGAGGTACAGTGGGAAGACTAGCTCTGCAGTCTGAGGGGGTGTCCCACCTTTACACCTCAGGAAAGGCCCTCCACCTTCCTGGGCCTCGGTTTCCTCACCTGTAAAATGTGGGAGTTGGCCCCGATGGCCTCTGACGTCACTTCCAGATTTACATCTAGGGCCTTGTGGCCTTCAAAGTGAGAATTCTCGGGAGGAAAACAGAGATACAGTGAAAATATGCCTCCCCACCCCCATTGATCTTCAGCTGAGGCCGGGTTCTCCACCCACCTAATTTGGGAAGAAAGTATGGCATGACTTCCCTCGGGATGAGGCCTCCTGGGGCCCAACACGGCAGGTGCCTGGGCCCAGGAGGAAGCTGCCCATGGCTCCCGCCCCAGGAGGTCAGAAGGGACAGACTTGGCCGCTGTCAGCCGAGGCTTCCACAGATGGCCAAGGGAGACTGAGGAAGGGCCATCGGGGCCATGGCTCTGCTCTGAGGCCTTCTGTGTAGGCCTCGGGGGGGGGGGTCATCTTCGCTCTTTACAGAAGCAGGCTTGTGCTACAAGGGAGAGCCCTCTGCAGGAGAGGCAAGGTGGCATGGTGGAGAGAAGTCAAAAAGACCGTGTTCAAGTCCTGTGGTAGCCCTTAGTAGCTATGTGACCCTGGCCAAGTCATTTTCTCCGCCTCAGGGACCGGTTCTGTCCCTGTTCCCTCCCGCTCTAAGGCACCATCAATCTCTCCATGGCCCAGTCCAATGGCCTTCCTCCTTCTCCTAGTTCCCTCAGCAGCCTTTGACTTTGCCCATCAAGCTCTTCTCTCCAGGACCTCTACCAATGGATGTCTCCCAGACATCTTAGCTGTGGTGTGTCCTTCCCCCATGCTTTCCCCTCCTCTGACCCTGCCTGCTCCCGTGTTCTCGCTATGCACCTGCCCAAGCTGCCCCGATGCCCGTGGCGGGGTGAAGAGCCCCACCCCCTCTTTGTTCGTGGCGCTTCCACCTCAAGTGGGGCTCAGACACTTTGGACAATGGCTTACTTCCCTTTCCGTCGTATTTCGTGGTGCTTTTCCTGCCCATTTAGTTTGGGCGGGTGGAGGAATGGTGTCTCCAGGGGGCGTCTTAGGGGAAGGGACAGCTGGGGCCTCCCTGATGCCCCGTTTCTAGCACCATTGAGCTCCTGGTTATTTCCGATTTCTGCGCCCCCTCGCTCCTACACAGTTGTTGGCTGCTGCCTCCCCATCAGCCTGTGAATTCTCCTTCGGGGCAGAGACTGTCTTTTGTGTCATAGGATCCTCAGATCTTAGCACTTCATAAATGCTTGTTCACTGACTGACTGACTGACTGACTGACTAATGACTGGTCAGTCTTGAAGGGCTGGATCTAATAACAGTTCAATGGGGAGAAGTACGGAACTTTGCCCTTAGGACCAAAGAAATCTGCTCTACACATGTTCAGGAAGCAGGAGGTGTGTGCTTACAAAAAAAGATTGGGGCTTGTAGGTGGCCAGCACGTGATACACCAACCATGCCTCGTGAGAGGCAGTGGAGCAGAGTGGTTAGAAGCCCAGCTTTGGCCTCTGGGAGGGCAGAAGCTGTGGTCCTGCCTCAGTCACTTATCATTTCTGTGACCTTGGGCAAATGATATAACTGCTCTCAGCCTCAGTTTCCTCATCTGTAAATGGGATAGTCTGGGGACCCTGGCAGTGCCCCAAATGTGTTAGGGATACATTCATATTATGGATTTCTAGTGGAGGAGAACCCAGGCAGCTCCTGCTTTTTCATTGTAGCAACATCTGGTTTTGTAGCATCATCCTAGGAAGCCATTAGTGCCAGGTTTGACGTCCCCCCGTTGGAGGCAGGGGCCAAGAGGGGACTAAGGTAGCCTTAGCCACAGAGCTTGGGTGGGAGGCAAGAGTCAAGGCCAGCTCTTCAGACCATGATGCCAGGCAGCCTCTTGGGAACTTTATTGGTGGGCAGTTGGGGTGAGGGAGGTTGCTGTAAGGAAATCTCTCTACCCTATAGATTGGCATCTTTCTGACAGTCGATGGTCTTGGAGATTTGCCAGGGGCGCTGACATTCCCAGGATGACACATTGAGAATGGGCCGGAGTGGTCCTTCTGACGCTGAAGCCAGCTCCCCTTCCATGTTGATGTGGCCCTTCTCACTCTCTAGATCACCCATGTCCTATTTTCCAACATTTTTGGCTTCTGTGAAGTTAGCATAAACCCCCTAAATTGTAGGGCTTTTTTTTAATTGGGCCAACTGTCAGAGACAGAGAAGGTCTAGCTTTGGAAGAGGTTTTACAAATCTCCTTGGAAGAAAACAGAACAATTTGGGGTCATTGAAAATCCTGCCTTTAGAAACGTTTTATCAGGAATAAGCAGGGGTGCTGGTCTCCTTTCTCTGGGACAATTATCCTATTTCTGGGGCTTTGGGCCTCTTCACTTTCCCAGACCCTTGGAGGCTTCCTTCATCTAACCAGCCTCAGCTTCTCTCATGGAAAAGGAGGGCATTGGAATAAGGTCCCTCCCAGCTCTCTATAAAACCTCTATCTTGTGTTTTCAGATCAGCCTCCTATAGGACCCTCCCCCACCCCCTTACACAGCACACTAACCCTTATTTTAAAAAAGGGTGTGAGGAGGAAGAGACAAGCTCATTAAAACTCACCAAGGTGTCAGCATAAAGAAAGACCCCCTAGTTTGATTCTACTTTTTTTTTATGGTGTGACTTCATGTTTTCATCATTTTGAGCTTATTGTGAAATGTGGTACAGGTTGTGGGTCTAAACCTAATTTCTGCCAAAATGCTTTCCATCTTGAAATCTTCAGCCATTGTAGATGATGACACCCGTTTCCTACAACTAATGGTGTTCTCAGGTTTATTCACCGTGGGGCTGAGGATCTTCCCCTATGCAGCTGTTCCATTTCTTAACCAGCACCAAATGATGTCAGGGGTGGCTCGTTAGAGCCCCGTTCGAGGCCTAGAAAACCAACTCTGACTCTGATTAACAGTGGCAGAGAACTCTGCAGGAGGCCCGAGGTCGGGGGCCGGGACACCGCTCACCCTCCAAGCCAGCCTTGCACCCCAGGCTTGCTCTGTGAAATGAAGCCAAGATAGAGCCTCGCTGTTGCTTGTTATAGAATTTCCCAAACCAGCTACGTGGACTTGAGGCCCAAAGCAAGTGCCATCCGGGCACCCTGGCAATTTCCGTGATGATTTCAGTGAGGCCAGGGCTGCTAGCAGGGTTTCCTAGGAGAAATGTTCTCTTTTGTCTTGATTCTCTCCCTTCCCTAGGTCCCCTCCCCCTTCCCCCCACTCCATCTCTTTTTCTAAAGAAGATTCTTTATGGAGCACACTCTGGGTTATCTGCCACGACTGCCTGGGGCTGCCTTCTGTAAACAGGATGCGACCCAGGGAGCCTTTAATCTGTCCGGGCCAGGAAGACTTATCGGTCAGGCCCCAATGTGTTTTACCCTGAAACATCAAAGGAGGCCCATGGCCAGCCTACAGCCTAACCCAGGTATTCTTGTGTGCATTAACAGCCCAGGCCTATAAATAATGGCCAGGCCAGGATGGCAGAGAGCGGCAGACTCACAAGTGGGGTCATCTGGAAGCCATTAGGGGGAAGCGGGGCCTGCAGGCCTGGATCGTTAACAGGGACCAGGCCATTTTAGTCAGGATGCTGTCAGGAGTTGACTCATTAACGGCCTGTTACTGTGTTCCATTCTGTGGGCTTTTATCTGGGGATTTTGTTTTCAAGAAAATTAAGTTAACATTGGCCCCCAGAGTCAGGAGGAGCAGGGGTATCCAAGGGACCCTGGAGTCTCTGCAAGCATCCTTTAAAAAACAGTCTGTTAAGCTTTGTTTGGAGTCACAAGTAGACCCTAGGGGGGCAGCTAGAGCACCAGCCCTGAAGTCAGGAGGACCTGAGTTCGAATGTGACCTCAGATACATAACATTCATAGCTGTGTGACCCTGGGCAAGGCACTTAACCTTGTGGCTTTGTTCAAGCAGTCATCAGAGAGCCAGGCATTTCCCACAATGACATAAGAATGCTGGGGAGCTGGCTCTGTTTGTCCTCTTGCGATGCTCATCCACCTGCATGGACCACACATCACTGTCCCCTCCGGAAGGGGTCTCTCATTGCAAGGCTCCCACACTGGGAGGGGGCGTCTCAGGCCCACTGCTCCTGGTGGTGGCTTTCTTCCAGGAGCCATCCATGCATTTCCATTCCTCCTCTCTTCTTGGGTGGGCTTTAGGAGCATGGCGTTGGGGGGGAGGGGCACACCATCGGCCTCAGTTTCCCAGCTACTCTCTGCTCATAAGCCAGTGGGACATCATGGGCAGCTGCATCAGCCCTCCAAAACAGATCTGTTCCACGTCACTGAGCTACTAAAATGGGAAGTGGGTAGGGCCTTATAGACCAGTCTGAGTGTCGTATAGACAGCGGAGGACCACAGTGTGTAAGGCGGCTCACCCATGGAGCTATTTGTGGCCATTTGTCAAAGAATGCATGAAAAAACACTTTTCAGGTACCAAGTAGTGTGCTGAACACCAAGGCCACACAAAAACCCCCCAACCAGACAGTCCCTGTCCTCAAGACCCCAGGGTCCTTGGGGCAAACTGGCCAAGGAAAGAGGTGGTCATTCCGCTACTTCATCTCCACTGATTGCGCCTTCCCTTTCCGATGCAGAGCCAGCTGAGGGGGCTAGGGGGCTTGGGTGGTGCCTGCTGTGACAGTGACTTTGGCAGCCCCGGGTCAAAGGCATCCCTTCAGTAGCAGAGCCTGTATTCCATGTTCCTTCTCATTGGAGATGACCACATTCTCCTTGTCGAGGAGCACCGAGGGGCATGAGGCACAGGGTGCCCCTGGCACAAGGGCATTCTCCTGTCCCCACAGGACATGCCCTTTGCAGGAATCATCCTGGATCCCCTGTGCTGCCTCGGGGTTGGCTGGTGGGGGGAGCCGCCTGGCACTGCCCTGCTTTGCTGAACACGCATGTTTTCGCTCTGCAGGCGCTTGAACACGTTAAATAAGTGTGCAGTAATGAAGCTGGAGATCAGCCCCCACAGGAAGCGGGTAAGGACATTGATGGCCCCGTGGGCGCGCATGTTCTGCCACAGCAGCTCACTGCCGCCAAGGTGCCCCAGCGGGCTGACGTCCCGAGTTCTGGGGGGAGGGAGCTAGGGCAAGGGGCACCCAAGGGGGCTGGATAGCAAGCAGTAATAGCCTGGCCTTCTTCTGTCCATGTGTAGCAAGAGAGGCTGGGTAACGTGCAAGGGACAAATGTCATGCCTGGAGAGACTGAGCTGTTCTAGCCAAGAGCGGTCCCCAAAGCTGCAGGAGTGCTAGAGGCAGAGGCAGAGGGCCTGGGTCCTACCCTGGTGCTACCACTTCCCTTCTGGGGGAGAGCCTCCCTCACTCTCCTCTTAACCAGTGGCCTCTGAGGCCCCTCCCAGCCTTGAGCCTCAGTTTCCTCATCTGTAAAATGATTAGGTTGTACCAGCCGGCCTCTAGGGTTCTTCTCAGCACTAGATCTGTGAGGCCCAGGATGGACATGGTGGTATTTTCTCAAGTTTGGGAAGGGAGAGGCAGTTTATAAGGCAGAGGAGAGTGCAGGGCAGCCCCTGTCACAAGGGCATTCTCCTGTCCCCGCGGGACATGCCTTTTTCAGGAATCATCTTGGATCCCCTGCCTTGCCCTGGGTCACCTCTCACACACACACACACACACTCTCTCTCTCTTTCTCTTTCACACATACACACACGTGCACATACTCTGTCTTACACACATGCACACACATACTCTCACACACGTGTGTGCACACACACTCTTACATACACATACTCTCATGTATATACACATACACATGCTCTCTCTCTTACACACATGCACACACATACTCTCACGCACATGCACTCACACATATGTATGCACACTCTTATACAAAGTCTCATGTATACACATACTCACACACTTACACATGCACACACACACATACTCTCTCATGCACATATACTCACATACACACACTCACATGCATGCACACACACACTCTTACATTCACATACTCTCATGTATATACACTCACACTCTCACACACACACATGCACATGCACATACTCACACACACATACTCTCTCATGTACATATACTTACATTCACACATACGTATACACATACTCTCATGTATATATGCTTTCATATATGCTCACACATACATGCACACATTCACACACTCTTACATACACATACTCTCATGTATATACACACTTACATACACATACACACATATTCTCATGCACATATACTCACATACACACACTCACACGTGCATGCACACACACACTTTTACGCATACTGTCATGTATACACACATACACACGCTCTCTCTTTCATATATGCTCATACATGCATGCACACATACACTCACACACACTCTTACATACACATACTCATGTATACATGCACTCACACACACACACATGCACACACACACATGCACTCTCTCTCTCTTTCTCCCTCTCTCACTCTCTCTCTCTGTCAGTCTTCCCTCTACCACTGGCTTCAGCTGGACGTTGCCTCCAGGCCAAGACTTCCCTTGACCTCAGGGGTCTCCACTGTGACCCCCTGAGCAGCAGCTCTGGGCTCCTAGCGGCTGACCCAGTCTGTGCCACTTGGTACGATGGCTCCCTGGGATTGAGAAGAGCCTTTCTGTTTTGGTTTTGTACGTACACACTTGCCTGCATCTTACTCTCTGCCTCATGACAGGTCTCGTCAGTGGCCATGATGTGGCTTACCCCTTTTTCTGTCTTTCCAGAGCGAGGACTCGGATGAGGATGAGCCGTGCGCTATCAGCAGCAAGTGGACATTCCAGAGGGACAGCAAGAGATGGTCCAGGATGGATGAGTTTGACGTCTTCCCTCCCACGCCCGGCCTGACTGCCGGGGCACTAGGGAACCAGGCCCTCGCCAGTACTGCTAGTCGAGAAAGCCTGCTGACCAACCTGAGCGAGGGCCAGGAGCTGGCCTCCATCCGCAGTCTCAGCAGCACCAGCAGCCTCCCAACTGAGCCTGGCATGCCCCGGGCAAACTCTGTGGTGAGTGTCTGCTCCTCAGGTCCCCGGGAGGACGGTTCCCTGCCCTCCCCCACAGAGCTGCCGAGCGTCAGCACCAAAGCCCAGGGGCAGCTGGCCAAGGCCAAGCCAAGAGGCCTGCTCAAGAGGATGGAGAGTCTGAAGCTCCGGCGTTCCCACACTGGCAGGCCCAAGGCAGCCCCCCCAAAGCTGGGCCTGGTCATCAGTGGCCCCGTCCTGCAGGAGGGGGCGGTCCAGGAGAAGCTGAGGCATCTGCACTGTGTGGAGATCTCCAGCCTGGGTAGTGGCCACTTTGGGGTCCCCAGTGTCCACAAGAGAACCGTCTCCAACTCCACCCAGACCAGCAGCAGCAGCAGCAGCAGCCAGTCAGAGAGCGGCAGCACCGTCAGCACCCCAAGCCCCGTGACCCGGACCCGCAGCCTCAGCACCTGCAAGAAGAGGGGTGGCATGTACCTGGAAGGCTTCGACCCCTTTGACCAGGTGGCCTTCAACAGCGTCCTCGAGCAGAACTATAGGAACCGTGACAGTTGCCCAGAGGACACGATATTCTACATTCCTGAGGACCACAAGCCGGGCACCTTCCCCAAGGCCCTCTCCAATGGCCGCTTCCCTCCCCTGGGTAACGAAGGCTCTGCAGCCAACTGGAGGGCGGGGAGCTTCCACAGCCAAGGCCGAGAGGATGCCAAGGGGCTGCGGCGGCGCAATTCCTCCTGCTCCATGAGCAGCCGCCTCAGCGTCTATGACAACGTGCCCGGCTCCAGCCTGTACTCCAGCTCCGCGGACCTCGCTGACCTCGAGCAGGAGGACATCTTCCCCGAGCTGGACCATATCTTGTACCATGTGAAAGGAATGCAGAGGATTGTCAACCAGTGGTCAGAGAAGTTCTCTGACGAGGGGGACTCTGATTCTGCACTGGACTCGGTCTCCCCCTGCCCGTCTTCCCCAAAGCAGACCCACCTCCAGGGCGACAATGACCGCACCTCACCCAGTGACCTCGACAGCGTGGGCAACTCTCTGAATGAGCCCGAAGAGCCCTTGGACATCCAGGAAAGGAGGGACTCTGGCGTGGGTGCATCACTGACCCGCTCCAACAGGTGAGAAGTCTGCCTTCCTCCACACAGGGAGGGCTCTGGGCTCTCACCAAACAGGTATGGGTGGGGGACAAAGGGAGCCAGAGAAATAGGTGCCTGGCACCCGGCTACTTCCTTCTGAGAATAAGGAGCCAAAAAGAAGACACAGGACCCAAAGGCAGGAAGATCTGTGTTCAAATCTCATCTCAGACACTGATTTGCTGTGTGACCTGAGCCAGTAACTTAGCCTCTCTGTGCCTCAGTTTCCCCATATGTCATTGAGGGGATGGATGGGATGGCCTTTAAGGTCCTTTCCAGCTTTAGACCTTGGAACCTGCCATTCAATTCCCAGGAAGGCACCAGGCCTGTAAATCCTAACCTCCCCTAGGATGAGATAATCTTTTGTGTGTGTGTGTGAGGCAATTCAGGTTAAGTGACTTGCCCAAGGTCACATAGCTACTAAGTGTCAAGTATCTGAGACTGGATTTGAACTCAGGTCCTCCTGACTCCAAGGTCAGAGCTCTAATCACCGCACCACCTAGCTTCCCCTGGGATATTCTTCTTGCTGGCTCTGCCACTCAGAGATGCTCTCTCCACTGAGCTTTCCCCATGCCTTAGTCTAGTGGTGTCAAACTCAGAGAAGCAGAGTTCTGGGCCTTTCCCTGAGGAGGGCCTAGAGCTCAGCCTCTCTGTGCTGGGCTCAGAGACATGCCGCAAGTGCCCAGGTAGGGTAAGCCTGTGGAACTCAGGCTCTCTGGCAGAGGTGTAAGAAGCCCAGGGTCCCTCTACGTTGGCAACAAGGAGAGGACTTTATCAGTTCTTTGGAGGTGGGAGAGAGAGAACAAGTATGTTAATAATGCACGTTAAGGCAGCTAAGCTACACAGCAGATAGAACGTGGAGCCAAGAAGACATGGGTTTGAATCCTGCCTCAGACACTTCTTAGCTGTGGGAGCCTAGCTAGCACCGGTGAGCCAGTCCAGACAAAATGCTCTGCGAATGCTTAGTCATTGTTAACGTTATGATTAAGACTGACTCCTGATGGCCCCCTGCTTCATCCAGGCCCCGGCTAAGCTGGCAGAGCTCCCAGCGACCTAGCGCAAGCTCCACCGTGCCACAGATCAGCTGCCAGTCTGTGGCTCAGATGAACTTGCTGCAGAAGTATTCACTCCTCAAGCTGACGGCCTTGCTGGAGAGGCACACACCATCCAACAAGCATGGCTTTAGCTGGTGAGTTCTGGGTCCCAGAGACCCAGCAGCTGACTGTGGGGAGGATGGGTGGCTTCAAGCCTCGAGCACTTGTACACAGCACCTGTGCTTACATTCCCCTGACAGGATGGGCACAGTTGTATGATTGTTCACAGAAGTCGGGAGAAAATCAAGTGAAGATTCCCCTAATGGGAAAGTCAATTAGATGATAAGTAGTAACTAGGCCTCTGCTATGGGCCAGGCATGGGCAGATGGTTACAAAAGCAAAACCACTGCTGTCCTCAGGGAGTTTACTTTCCCCTGGAGAATTACAATTAGATAAGTAAATACAAAGGAGGGGTTCAAAATAAAACAAAGGGGGAGTGGTACTAACTAACAGGGGGGAGAATGAGGAAAGGCATCAGGAAGGGAGCTATAGCTTCCAATAAGGAGACTATTGCAATTCTGTAGGACAGCCCCGGTAGAGGCACGGAGGTGGGAGAGGAAATGTCACAGTTTGGTTGGAGCAGGGTATGGGGAGAGAACATGGGTAGTCAGGATGGAGATAGAAAGTATATCATACTGCAAAAGGAGGAGAAATTTGGGTTTTATCTCAGAGGTCATGGGGAATCACCAAAGTGCCTTAAGCAAGGGAATGATCTGGTAGGGCCTGGACTTTAGGAATAGAGTCCCAAGTAGAATTTGTAGCAATCGTCCAGATGAGAAGGGTCTTGAGAAGGCCTGAATGAGGGTGACTGAAGGTGGAAGAGGGGAAAGGCTTAGCAGTTGATTGGATGGGATGGGGCAAGGGAAGAATGAAGGGTCAGGGGTGACTTTTAGATTGGAGGTGACTAGAAAGATGGATGGTGGTGGGCTTGATGGAAATAGCAGTGTTCAGAGGAGGCATGCAATTTGGGGGAGAGAGAGTTGTGAATAAGTTGAGTTTAAGATTCCTAGGGGGACGTGACAGTGGAGACATCGAGCAGGCAATGGGAGATATGGGCTACCAATGGGGATTTGGGAATCACTCATAGAGGTGATTGTTAAGAGCTGAGAAGATCATCAAGAAAGTGTAAAGAGAGAAAAAAGAGGGTCCTTCCTTGGGAATGAGCAGGAGTTAGCATGAGGGAAATGGATGAAGATCCAGCCAAGAAGCAGAGATGGAGTGGGCAGATGCATAGGGAAAAACCAGGAGAGAGGTCATTATGGCCAAGGAGGAAGAGAGACTAGCCATGATGAGCACAAGGTGGCCAACGACATCGAAAGCTGCAGAAAGCTCGAAGAATACGGCCCTTGGGGCAGCAGCTAAGAGATCATCGTGGCCTTGGAGAGGCCATTTCAGTTGCATGAGAGGGTTGAAACTGAAAAGGGATGGAGAGGCAGTGGGAGCTGAGATGAAGGCAGAAGAGCTCTGAATGGTAGCATTAGGGGACAGCAGGGTCATGGGAGGCTTTTCAAGGATGTGGGCAGTGGAAGAACGTATGTGTAGACAGCATGGATAGAGCTAAGGGACAAGAGAAGGTGGGTGAGAGTGGAGATGACAGAGAGCAGGATGAAGGGGGACTGGCTCCTGGGGAACAAAGGAAGGGGTGGCATTGTCAAGGAAAAGGACTTCTCCGTCCTCACAGGCTGAAGCAAAAGAGTCAAGAACAGCTGATAGTGGAGAGGAATAAAGTCAGTTGGCAAGCATTTATTAAGTGCCGTCTGCATGCCTAGTCCTCTGCTGAGCTCTGGCCAGACAAGGAGGCCTCCTTTTGCCCAGCACCATTCTAATGGCTCCCAGTGCTGGGTGGTGTTGATGGCCTTGTCTGTCCACAATGGCTGCAACGGGCAGCCGGGGTGAGTCTGAGCTTCATTAAACACCTGCTATGTGCAGTTCACTGGGCTTGGCAGTGAAGACGAAAGAAAGATTTCTAGCCTTTGCGCTTCAATCTACTCCTGGGGCTAAAACACATGCAGAGGTGGGTAGGATTGAAGTAGCTTGGGAAGATGCAGCGCCTAACTGGCTGCCATTCTCTCTGTGTGTGGCTAGTGAGTGAGTGTGTGTGTGTGTGTGTGTGAGAGAGAGAGAGAGAGAAGGAGAGAAGGAAAGATGGAGAAAGTGTATGTGACTGTGTGTATGTGTGTAAGTGAAAGTGTATGAGAGAGGAGAGAAAGAGAGTATGTGTGTGTGTGTGTATGTGTGAGAGACAAAGAGTGTTTGTATCTGGCTAGTGAGAGAGTGTGTGTGTATGTGTGAGAGACAAAGAGAGAGAGAAAGAGAGAGGGAAAAGGAGAGATGGAGAAAGTGTATGTGTCTGGCTAGTGAGAGAGTGTGTGTGTGTGTGTGTGTGTGTGTGTGTGTGTGTAGAAGCAGGGGGGGAAAGCCTTGGTCTGACTGCTAGAGCATAGATAGGCTCTCACGCTCTCCAGGGAAGGAGCAGGCCCTCCCCTCAGATGGCTAACCGTGCTGCAGCCCAGAGCGTGTTTCCTACTATGTGAGCAGAGAGAGGCCCGAGGGGAGGCATTGGAGTTGGGAAGGGCCTACTGCTCCTGGCCAGCCTCCTTACTTTATAGATGACAAAGCTAAGAACCAAAGGACTTTCGGGGGAGGTGGGGTGAGCAGCACGAGTCCTACCCCACTGTGTGTGGTAAAGCCAGGATTTGAACCCAGGCTACCGGAGGCTCCTTCTTTGGATGGCACACAAGGAATAGATTCAGAGAAGCCTCCATGGGCTTCAGAAGTAAGAGTATTGTATAGCCATAGGCCATTGCTGTCAACACAAGCCCCCTGGGGGCCGACTTTATGGGGCATCTTCCTTTGTTCTAAGCATTTAGTTGTCTCTAAAGATTTGGGGGTGAGGAGAAGATGGCCCCATTTTGGTGAAGGGGCCAGCTCCCTGTGGCTCCCTGGCCGGAGGGTGCCCTGCCTACTGTGGCACACCTGGGGCTTCTCTGCCACCTCTGGACTTGGGATTTGGAGCACATCCCCAGACATCAAAGAAAGCATCTCTTTCCACGGCTGTGCTGGTGGGAGCCTCAGGGCACACAGGAGCGTTTGTTCCAAATGACTGAAATAAGTAAGTCCTGGGCAGCCTCTCCCTGTGTGCCTGAGATACTCACTGGAGACCATCCCCTGCCTCCTGCATTCCGCCCCTGACGCCAGGCTGCCTCTCTCCCCTTACAAAGCGGTCATTGTGTGCCGTGGATCAGTAATGCTAGAGGCCATGCTCTATGGAAACCCACCTCTGGTGCCCCACAGCCAACCCTGAGCCCTGGAGAATTGGGATGGCCTGGGCAGGTCATGAAGGCTTATTGGTACTTTAATGGGGTCAACGTAGGGTACCCTAGAGCTCCAAAGAATGACATACTTTCGAATTCTTTCACTTAAAGGAAAAAGCCAGCCTTTCCCCTACCTCCCATTCATAACCCAATTTTAATGTGTCTCATTGAATTATGGGATCAGGAAAGTGTTCAAGGGGGTTGGAGAGAGGTATTCTCCCTTTCTTCTTACTGTTTCTCCTCCGTCTCACTCACTTTCCCACAGGGTCACAGGGCAGGCTTGCATATCTATTTGATGATCTTGAATGGATGACCCCAATTCCTCAATAGTCCCCAATTCAGAGGTATAGGCAGCCAAGGTGGACATCAAACGCATGACCCCCTTTCTCATTCTCAGGGGCCATGAGTGAGAGGACTCTGGGGTCAGTCAGCCTGGGGCCCTCCCCATTCTGCTGCCTCACAGGAGTGTGGGGAAAAGCCAAAGATGTAGTTGGTAATTTTAAAGATGTTCAATCATTTTTTTTCAGTTAATAAGCATTTTTTAAAAATTACTCTCTTCTTATTTCTCCCCCCGACCCCATACACATTGAGCAAATTTAAAGATGAATGAATCATTCCTTCAATGGTGCTGCAGGGTCTGGCAGAGCAGATTTCCGTTTTGGCCACATCCAAAGACATGTGAAGAGAGATGAGATATGAAAGGCGCCTTTCAAGCTCAGAAGTCCCATGTCAGTGACAGCTGTTATTATTGCTGTTACTGTGATGATGATGTTGAGTCAGAGCTGAGGGTCATAGAATTAAGCTTTGAATTCATCTAGTCCCTCATCATTTTATGGAGGAGGAAACAGAGGCCCACTACAGGGAAGAGACTTGATCAAGGCCACACATTAATGATAACCTGCATGTCTACACACATCATGGTCTTCAAAGCACTTTTCTCACAAACACCCTATGCAACATACACAGGTTGTATGCGTTTTATCTCCACTGTAGAGGTGGACAAACTGAGGGTCTGAGGGGAAGTGAGTAGCCCAGTGTCCCCAGCTGCTGAGTGATAAAGCTGGACCATGCCCGGGCTCTAGGACATTAGACCGAGTCCCAGTTCCCATCCCCTGCTCCCTCCCCATCCTGTACCTCTGCTTCCCCTACGTTGCCAGAGAGACTTGGGCCCTGGGGTAGTAAGCTCATCTTCCTCTTGTGCTCCCAACCCAGGGCAGTGCCCAAGTTCATGAAAAGGCTTAAGGTCCCAGACTACAAGGACCGAAGTGTGTTTGGGGTCCCGCTCTCCATCAACGTGCAGCGGACGGGTCAGCCGCTTCCCCAGAGCATCCAGCAGGCCATGGGCTACCTGCACAGCCAGTGCTTGGATCAGGTTTGTGCCATGTCACAGGGGTGGGGTGGGGGACCGCAAGGTGAACGTGTCCTCAGCGTGTCCTCACACCGCCTCCCTGGCTTCCCTCCCCGGCCATGCTGCCTGGGAACAGGTGGGGCTCTTCAGAAAGTCGGGCGTCAAGTCCAGGATCCAGGCTTTACGCCAGATGAATGAGAGCTCCATGGCGCATGTGAGCTACGACGGGCAGTCTGCGTACGATGTGGCCGACATGCTGAAGCAGTACTTCCGAGACCTTCCCGAGCCACTGATGACGAACAAGCTTTCGGAGACCTTCCTGCAGATATACCAGTGTGAGTGGACGGCCCTGAGCCCAGGGGCAGGCAGAGGGGTGCCATGGCCTCTGGTCTCAGGTCCGGCTGGGGGTGGGCATGGCCGGGGAGGACTGCTGCCCACCCAGGAACGGCAGGCTCTTTCACAGGGCCAAAGGGGTAAAGAGGAGGAAGGTGGGGGACTTTAGCTCAGGCCTTCCTACCTTCCTGATAAGGCAGGAGGCCACCTGGCTGCTCGGTCTCGTTTTCCGGGTTTTGTGACAATCCGTGGTTTTTCTTGTGCTGCCTCAGCCTGGGGAGAGTTGAAGCTTGCTTGGGACTGATGAGGGCTAAATGTTACTGTTGCACAGATGTGCCCAAGGAGCAGCGTCTCCAGGCCATCCAGGCTGCCGTCATGCTGCTGCCGGACGAGAACAGGGAGGTCCTTCAGACCCTGCTCTGTTTCCTCAGCGAGGTCACCGCTGCTGTGAAGGAAAACCAGATGACGCCCACCAACCTCGCTGTGTGCTTAGCGCCTTCCCTCTTCCACCTCAACACCCTTAAAAGGGAAAATTCTTCTCCCAGGTAGGTGGCATGGCCCGCCCCTCCCCTTCCTATTCCCTTGCTGCACGCACGCACACACACACACACACACACACACACACACACACACACACACACACAAAAACTATAGCACACTTTGCGTAGCTCAGGCTGTCCAGATGTCTCCACTCTTGGGTACAGTGCATGTCTTCCAGGGTTCAGTCATGGGTGAGTGTGGTGCGGACAGTCCGCAGCTAAGACTGTACTACTTACTGAGGCAGGCTTTGAACCTGGGGCTTCCTGACTCCTGGAGCCTCACTACCCGTTTTCATTCATGGCAATGCTCAAAGACCACAGACTCGGTTACAGAAGGCTTGTAAATCTTTGTGGATGGAAGGCAAGGACTCAGGCCTCTGGCATGACGGATGCCAGTGATTGCAAGACTTGCCTTAACCATCCAACACAAATGACCAGATGTGCAAAATAAGGAAAGAAGAACAGATACCAGGAGTTAGTATTGGGGCCCCTCGGCTGGCATTCTGTGACCTCTCTACATAGCTGGCATTCCATGGGTTCATTCTGCTGATCTCACTCCAGCTCACGCTGTCTAAGTCTTGACGGTTTCTGAATCACAGAGCGGGGAGAGGCTGCTGAAGCCCCTCTCCCAGAGGAAGGCTCCGGTCACATTGTTCGTCCAGCCTTAGCTAAAGGACCTGGGGTACAAGGGGGTGCTCCCCACCTTGGGCAGCCCGTCCTCCTCTGGGACAGCTCACAGCAAGGAAGTGACTTGTTCCTAACATCCAGCCTCAAGCCACTTCCTGCCACTGTTCCCCAGGCTGCCCTCGGAGGCTGAACAAGGCCATCCAGTCCCTCTTCCCAATGATGTCAGCATCAACGCCTTTATTCCTGGAAGCTCCGCCTCTCGATGCCGTCCAGAAATCACACCAAGCCTTATTCCCTCTTCCTTTAACTCTCCCCACTCCCCGAATTGGAACACAAAGGAAAGAAGAGAAAAAGAAAACTCTGGGATCCACTGTGAATCGCCCAAGGAGTCAGACCCTTACACTGGCCCATGCCAAAGCGCTTGTCTCCTTCTGTACCCCGAGGTCTGCACCTGCTCTCTCAGGGCATGGGGGCACCCTCACTGGCCCTCTGGAGCCACGTCATCCCTTCACGTTTCACCGCCGCATCACCCCGCGGACTCACTGAGTGTGCAGGCACCTAGCTCCCCTAGGACTTCTCCGACAGATTGTTCTCTTTCCCTTGAGAAATTGACTGTTTGAACCCATGCAGAACACTTGGCATTTGTCCCTTCATAAGTTCCTCTTATGAGATTCAGTTCATTGATCTAGGCCAGTGACTCACAAAGTGTGGTGGAGAGAGTCCAACCACCAGAGATGCTTTTGGGGATCCAGGAGCTCAAAGCATTTGTATGATAATATGAAGATCTTTTCTAGCATAAAAAAATGAATAGCTATGTGTAAGCAGAAGCTGTCTGGGGAGGATCTTCAATAATTTTAAGAGTGTAAAGTGGTCAGTGACACTTGGGAACCACTACTCCAGACTGTCAAGATCTTTTTAGACCCTAACTATATTCCACTGTGATAAGAGGCAGCCGCGAGGCACAGTGGATTGAGTTTTGGGCCAGGAGTCAGGAAGACCTGAGTTCAAATCCAGCCTTACTGGCAGTGTGAGGCTGGACCTGTCACTTCACTTCAGCTTTCCTCAGTTTCCTTCACTGTAAAATGGGGATAACAATAGCACTGACCTCCCAGGATTGCTGTGAGGATCAAATGAGGTAAACAGAGCCTGACATATAGTAGGTGCTTAATAAATGCTTGCTTCCTTCTTTCTTTCCCCTCCTCGGTTGGTGTCACCCTTGGATTTCATGAACACATCATCCAAGTCATTGATGAAAAAATTAAACAGCCCAGGGCCAATCATAGAGCCTCGGGACATTCCACTGAAGACTCCCAAAGACCACTTTCCTGTTGGACCATTCATGACTGCTCTGAGTGTGGCCATCTAAGCAGTTCTGAATTCATTTAATTGCATTATCATGTAGGCCACACTTCCCCATCTTCTCCAAAAGAACAGTCTGAGATGCTTTGAATGAATCCAGGTAGGCAGTGTTACATTCATCTCTCTTGTTTACTAACCCTGTCAGAAAAGAAAGACAAGGTTAGTCTGGTGTGGACTGAAGCTGGCCTGGCTCTTTGGAGTCACTGCTTCCCTTTCTAAATCTTCACCTGCCGTCTCTCCAAGTACCCATTCTAGAATTTCCCAGGACTTGACGTGACACTTAGTGGCCTATCATTTTGAGAGGGGCAATTTTCCAAAAAGGGGAAGGAAACAGAGATCTATATTCCTTCTCCCAGTTTCCATGATCTTTCAGGTGTCACTGACTGAGGTTCATCAGTCAGACCTACCAGTTCTTTCAGGACCCAAGTTTACCTGGGCCAGGGGACTTGAATTCGTTAAGGGAAACCAGGCTCCCTGTTCCTCTGGCCTTATGCTAAAAGCACCCATACCCTTTGACTCCGAGTTAAAGGCCCCAAGAAGACCAAAAACCAAAAGAACTGTTCCTCTGCAATGAAACATTCCTAGCAGTGCTTTTTGTAGCTAAAAGAAGCTGGAAAGAAGGCTGATGCCCATCCATTGGGAAAATGGCAAAATCCATTTTGGTGCATGATTGCTGGAAGACTGATCACGGCACTCTAAGAAACAACTGAGGAGAAGCAGCTGGGGATGCCTGAGAAGCCTCATGTGAAGGAATGCCGGGTAGAGTTATCAGAACCAGGAAAACAAGCAACATGTCCTGAACCCTGAAACACTAAATGCTCCTGAACTAGAAAACCTCCTAAGCATTCTAGGAACCTTGCCTGGCCCCAGCCATCCCGAGGGCCAGTGGACCCATCGGTTGAATGTGAATAGGGCACTCCCCCTGCCAAAGCAGCTAGGCACCTTCTAGTCTTCGAGAGATGCCTAAGGGCACTTAGAGGTTAAGGGACTTGCAGGGTCACCTAGCCAGTACTTTCAGAAGTAGGCCTCGAACCCAGGGCTTCCCTGCACTGTTTCTTCCTCATGGTAAAGGGGCGGGGAGGCTCTGGGTAGGCAACATTGAATACATTCATACTCAGATACAGTCAGTAGGGTGGTAAGTTTTGCTCAAATGCCGGTTTTCCCCCTTTTTGTTCTTCGTGACAAGTAATGGCTCATTAGGTAAGGCAGGGGTGGGGGACTAGAAATGAAGGGGCTGTGGAGGCAAAAGAGATACATAACAAGAACAAATTCTTTAAGAAAAGGGAAGCTCTCAGGAGGCCTGGGTTCTTCCTTGGCTAGGGCATGAACTCCTTGGGTCTTTGAGCCAGTGGCCTTCCCGTTCTGGGCTGTCTCAGATTCTTCATATGTAAAATGAGATGATGAGCCTAGAAGACGATTCCTGGAAATGCCAGATCCCAAGTTTAGGCCCTGTGGACCTTGGGGGGAGCGGCAGGGGAGCAGCCCGGGAGGCAGGACAAACCCATCTCCTGGGCTCCAGGAAGGGCCCTGAGACATTTCAGGGTGGGGGAGGGGGAAGCCCTCCCAGAGGAGGCCAAGGATGATATAAGATAAGGGCCTTGGCGGCCACAGCTGTGGAGCATGCCAGGCGAGCAGCCAGGCCGACAGGAAAGGGCACTGTTTGTTTATTGGGGAAGGAACAGAGGGCTAGGGGCGGGGGGGGGGGGGGGGGGGACACCTCCTTCCTTCCTCCCCCATTATCTGAGGCCAGAGGAACCCACACCCAACATGGCAGACCCGCAGATGACACACAGGCCTCTCCCTCTATTGTAATGGCTTAATTCCATTTGGCTTAGAAGCCCTTGGGGCTGAAATCAGCTCCCATGCACGCTCTCTCTTTCTCTCTCTCTCTCTCTCTCTCTCTCTCTCTCTCTCTCTTCCTCTCTCCCTCTCTCTATCACTGTCTCTCTCTGTCTCTCTCTGTTTCTCTCTGTCTATGTCTCTGTCTCTACCTCTGTCTCTCAGCACAGAAACACCTGGACTAGTCATCTCTCTGTGGCTCTCACTGAAAGGCCACTAGGGATTGCCATATTGCACAGAGTGGATACTTGGAGTCAGGAAGATTTGAGTTCAAATCCAGCTTCAGACACTTCCTAGCTGTGTGACCCAGATCAAGTTACTTTCCCCCTGCCTGCCTTGGTTTCCTCAACTGTAAAATAGGGATAATTATAGCCCCTACTTGCCAGGGTTGTTGTGATGATAGAAAATATTTGTAAAGCTCTTTGCAAACCTTCAGGTATCTGTAAATGCTGGTTAAGTGATGACCGCCATCTTCATCGTCTTCATTATCCTCTCTCTAAACCTGCAGAATTGCTCAGGTGTCTGTGCAATGGGGAACCCATCCCCCAGCTCCTGCCCCATGTTCCAGGCCGAGTCCAGCTCCCCTGGCCCCCTCTGCAAGTCTCCCTCTCACCCCCTCCCCCCTTTCCTTCGTTTGACCCAGGGTGATGCAGAGAAAGCAGAGTCTGGGGAAACCTGACCAGAAGGATCTCAATGAAAACCTGGCAGCGACGCAAGGCCTGGCGCACATGATCGCGGAATGCCACAAGCTCTTCCAGGTGGGCCAGAGCATTGCAGGGGAGGGGAGGTATGGCCCAAGGGTGAGGGCAGCCCATCTCAGTTTCACTGGAAGGAGAATCCCTTCTGCTGGCCCAGACCCCACCCAAGGGGTCAGCTGAGAAATGCATCATGCCCTACAGGAACTGATGAGTAAAATGGATGGGGGCCAGGGGGGTGTTGGCAAGGAGGGGTGCAGGATTTGTGCCCAATCCCCCTGCCCCAGAGAGCACAGGGTGGGTGGGGTGGGGACCAGATTGTGCAGCCTTGGTCAAGGGAACTCCCTCTGCCAATGCGGGGTGGATCCGCCTGTCTGAGGGCTTGGGAGGTGAAGAGGCAGATCTGGGTTCCCCTCTTGCCTCTAGGCTGTGCCAGTCCTTGTTTCTGTCTCCTCTCTCAGGAGGGAGCTCCCTCAACACCCGCAGCCCTGGGTGCTGGACACTGGCCTCCTGGAGTGGCTGCAGATGGCCCAGATGGTGGCCTGCCCTCTGTGGCTGTCCAGGCCCTTTCCTGGAACATCAATTATTGTCTCCTCCCAAGAGTCCCATCTGGTGGTCCTAGGACCATTCTACAGATGAGAAAGTTGAGGCTTAGGGATCTGTGTCCTGAGTCCAGGCCAGGGTGCTTTCCCCCATGGTCAGGGGCCTCCAGCTGATGCAGATGTGAGAAGGCAAGGAATGGTCTCCAGGTCAGGGAGTGGAGATAGTGAGAGGCTAAGCTTGAGGCTGGGAATCCTTCCTCCTAGGTCCCTGAGGAAATGAGCCGCTGTCGGAACTCATACTCGGAGCAAGAGCTGCGGCCGCTGAGCCTGGAGGCCTTGGGCCGCCTGAGTGGCCAGGACACCGACTATCGGCACTTCCTCCAGGACTGCGTGGACAGCCTGTTTAAAGAGATCAAGGACAAATTCAAAGGCTGGGTCAGCCACCCGACCTCGGAGCAGGCCGAGCTGGCGTACAAGAAGGTAATTTGTGCTGGCTGCCCCCGGTACCCCTAGGATGCCCAGGAGCTGGGGCAAAGGCGAGCCAAGGGTTGTCAGCCCCATTTCACAGGTGGGTAAGTTCAGGCCTGGAGGAGGGAGGAGCTTGTCTCAGATCACATGGGATGGAGCCAAGAGGTTGACTGAGCTGTCCTCCGTGGGCTCTATGAGAGATGTCACCAGTGGGGAGGCTTTAGCCTGGAGTCAGAGGATTGAGGCTCAAATCCCAGCTGAGTTAAACATGTCATTTCCTCTGGGCCCGCTAGGAAGTGCAGTAGATAGAGCACCTGCTGTGGAGTCAGGAGGACCTGAGTTCAAAGCTGGCCTCAGACATTTGATACTTACTAGCTGTGTGACCCTGGGCAAGTCACTTAACCCCACTGCCTAGCCAAAAAAAAAAGTCATTTCCTCTCCCTGCACCTCAATTTCCTCATCTGTGAAATGGAGTGAGTGGAAGGACAGAGCTGGATGAAATGACCCCCAAGGTCCTTTCCAGCCCTCAGTCCTGAAGATTTTAGTGTTCTGGGAAATGGGGGAGCTCTCCCCCTCATTTTCAGTTTGTCAGTGACCTTAAGCATCCAGCTTTGACACCATCCTAGGCTCACCCCTTCTCCTTCTGGCAGTGGGGTTGGCCCTTGGGGGCTCAACCAGAGAGCACACAGGGTGAGTATCAGCAGAGCCCCAAATGCACTGGGAGAGGAGAACCCCACAACTTGGTCTTTCTCCAACTGGTGCTCCAGTGAATAACTGTAAATGATAGTCCAGAAAAACAGATTTCCCTGCCATCAGATCTAAAAATGTTTGTCTCCTGACCTGTGAGTCTATCCCTTCTCTGGAGGAGGTGAAAGGGTGATTCATCTGGAGTCCTCTGGCCTTATGATAACCACATTACTACATGGATCAGAATTCTAAAATCTTTCCAAATTGTTTTTCTTTATAATGTTGGGCAATCAATCAGTAGCATTTATTAAGCACCTCCTACACGCCAGGCATTGGGCCAAGTGCTAGGAATACGCAGAAAGGCACAGTCCCTGCCCTGGAGGAACTCACAGTCTAATGGTGGAGGCAGCAGGCAAACAATTATGTACAGACAAGCTGGGAGTAGGATAAGCTAGGAATGATCCAGAGAGGAAGGCTCCCAGCTCATTGTATACAGCGTTCTCCTGGCTCTGCACCCTTCCCACTCCAGCAATTCATAAGTCCGCCTGGTTTCCTCTGACCTCATTTTGTCATGTTATGGTGCCATAACAATCTATTGCATCTCTATACCATAATTCATTATTTATTTTATAGGGACACCCCTTAGTTTCCAGTTTGGGGATACTATGGAAAGAACTGCTATATATATTTTTGTACTTACGGGTCCTTTCCCTCTTTCTTTGATCTCTTTGGAGTCTAGATCTAGTAGCAATATAGCAGAACCAAAGGGTATGCACAATTTAGTAATTTAGGGTACATAGTTTGAAATGCCTTTATTAAATGGCTGGAGTGAGTCACAGCTCCCCCTACAATGCATATACGGGTCTATTTTCCCCTTCCCCCAACAGTCCCACCAATAATCAGCAAAAATTGACAAAAGAGAAATGACCATCGATGGGTGTGCAAGTTGGAACTTGACAGTTCCTTTCATTTGTAATTCTCTAAGTAGAGCATTTTGGGGGGTAAGGTTGTTCATAGCTTGGATGGAGTTTGAAAACTACATATTTCATATCCTTTGATCATTTATCTGTTGGTAGAATGGCTCTTTGTCTTATAAATTTGAAGCAATTCCTTGTATCTTGGATATGAGGTCTTAATTAAAGAAACTTATTATAATGATCCCTCTCCCCAGGTACCTATTTCCCTTCTAATTTTAACTGCATTCAGCTTTGCACAAACAAATCTTTTAAATTTTACATACTCAAAGTTGTCTATTATTTGGTCACGGATTCTTCCCTGTCTTCTGTGCTTTTCCTTCCTTGTTTGGGATGTCACCTTTTATGTCTAAAACCATAGATCATCCGGAGTCTCTCTTGGTCCCCAGGGTAAGAAGCTGCAGGGCTGTGTGTCCTTTCTGCCAGACTGCTTTCCAGTTTTCCCAGCAGCTTGGGTCAAATAGCTAGTCCTTCCCCCATTAACTAGAGCCTTTGAGTTTAGCAAACACTCCTAGGCTTGGTTTCTTTGCTTGTCTGTTCTGTGCCTAATCTGCTTTGCTAATCTCTATTCTTTAACCAATACCCAATTGCTTTGATGATTTCTGCTTTGGTGGAGAGTTTGAAATCTGCATTTGTTTTAAACTCTCTACAAAGAGCCCAAACAGTCCCTAGGCAGCCCCTGATCCCTAAGGCTCAGAGTACTCCCCACCTCTTCCATGCCTCCCACTCCCCCCTTCTCCTTCAGCTCTAATACAGAACTTGCTTCTGCCGCACCCCCATTCCCATCAATCAGCAGTCTCTCGTTTGGGATTCTTTCAAGCCAAGTGTATCAGCCTCTTTCAGATGTTCCCTCAAGGCAGTGTCCACTGGCCCCAAGTCATTCTTTGCCTGCTCCTCTCTTCTCTCCAGCCCAGCCTCCACTCTGCTGCCAAAGTGATATTTCTAAAGTATTCTGATCACCCCCAGCAATGTCCAGGGGCTTCCGATAATCTCCAGGATCCTGCTTGGCATACGGATTTTCATATGCCTTTCATTAGTTTTCCCACAGGAGGTAAGGAGTGAATCTGAGTTAAAGTAAAGTTTCTACCTGGTAGAGGAAGGTTTCGGTGAGGGAGTGATTAGAAATTATTGGCAGTAATTTGGTCCTGGGATGATCTCTAGCCCAGGATGGAACAGAAAACCAGTAAGACTTAGAGTTGCCAGCTAGTTGGTATAATGGAGTTAGAAAGACCTGAGTTTGAGTCCTACCTCAGCCACTAAGCTAGTCTGTTCTATTATCCTCTCTTTCATAAATAACCTAGCCTCTTCCAGTCCTTCTAGTTTCTCACACTCCGCCTCCGTCAGGACAGATGGGCGCACATGTGAGCACAAGCGCGCGCGCACACACACACAAAGTCTAACTCTGTCTGCTGTTCCTCCTGGAACAGGACACTCTCTCTCTGCCTGGCTATCCCTCCAGACTGCCCAGATTTCTTTGTCCCCTGGGGCTCTTATTTCCCAGACTTCCTTCCAGGCTCAGCTCACATCCCACCCTTTGCCGGGGGTTCCTCCAGCTGGCTGCTGCTTTTCCCTGCTTGTCTACTCTATACGTATTTTGGATCACCTAGTTAATCACATGTTGCCTTTCCCTGCTGGAATGGGAGCTCCTTGAGGGCAGGAAGCCTCTGCGTCTTAATCCCACGGGGTAAGTGCTTAGTCAGTGCTTGTTGATTGACTGCCTGGAGGACCTCTGTATCCCAGAATTGGTTTCCCAGTCTCTCCCCCCCCCCCAACTCTGGCCCTCATCCTGGGGGACTTTGGCATCGTGTTGCTGTTTCCTGGCCTCCTGGTCCAGTCTTCTGTCCTGTGGTCCACTCCTCTCCACCTTGACCACACACCCCAATGGCCACTCCTTTGATCTCTACATCCCTCCAAGGGTTTCACTTCCATGATCAAGAATCCCAAACTTCTTGCTCTCCAACCATAACTTCCTATCAGTCCATCTTATTCTTAAACTGGGCACCACAACATCAGAAGCAGGAGATCCAGGTTCGAACACTGGGCTTGCACTGGGCTTGCTATTTTCTCCCTGTGTTAACCATGAGCAAGATGGAAAAACTACCAGGGGGTTATTTTCCTCATCTATAAAATTATGAGACGTTTAGATTTGCTCATCTCTAAAGTTCCTTTCAACTCATCTTCTGATCCTCTAATGAATATCATCAGTCAGAGATGATGTTGACTCAAAAAGTTAAAACTCCCCTCCATTCTGTTTGAATATCAAGAAGTGTGCTTCAGTCAATGGATGTAGCCAACGTCAATCTGGCTCGTTCAAGGTTCCAATATGCTTTGAAGATCAGCCCATTTGATTCCCACAGTCATCCTTGTAGGTGGGCACCATGCTTATCATCATTTTATAGAAGCTGAAGATAAGAGAGGATAATAGAACAGACTAGCTTAGGGTTCTACAACTGCTTAGTGGCTGAGGTAGGACTCAAACTCTGGTCTTTCTAACTCCATTATACCAACTAGCTGGCAACTCTAAGTCTTACTGGTTTTCTGTTCCATCCAGTGCTAGAGATCATCCCAGGACCAAATTACTGCCAATAATTTCTAATCACTCCCTCACTGAAACCTTCCTCTACCAGGTAGAAACTTTACTTTAACTCAGATTCACTCCTTACCTCCTGTGGGAAAACTAATGAATTATCAGCTTCCCAAGTCTACTTCTTTGTGAAGGAAGATGATCTGAGGGTCTGCATGCACTCACTACCTTACCTCCAGACCTCCCATTCTGTTGCTTTTGGAGTTTGCCCTTGGTTGAAAGTGAGGGTCCCCAGCAGTGACTAGTGGGTTGTGCTTTGTTTAGGTGAGTGAAGGACCCCCACTTCGACTGTGGAAGTCAACAATCGAGGTCCCTGCCAAAGCTGAGGATGTCTTAAACCGACTTCTGAAGGAGCAGCACATTTGGGATCCGGACCTCTTGGATGCCAAAGTGATTGAAGTCCTGGACAGCCAGACCGAAATCTACCAGTTTGTCCGGAATAGTATGGTGCCCCATCCTGCCAGGGACCATGTTGTGCTGAGGTGAGGGCTCTCCCTGGTGCGCCACGGCAGCAGTGGCTTCTCCTGTTCAGAGTTGAGACTCAGGACGTGGGCAGGAAAGTCCAATTTATCAACAAACATTGATTAAACATCTACTGTGTAGGTGCTGGGGATAAAAAGACAAAAACAAGGCAATTCTTACCTTCGAGGAGTTCACTCACTGGGGGAGAAAGCATCCACACAAGTATAGACAATATAGACTCATATGCCCTAAAAGGCAGCTTGGTACAGGAGAGGGAGCCAGGAAGACCTGGGCTCGAGTCCTGCCTCTGGCATGTCCTCTGCATGTGATCACTTAGCCTCTCAAGGCTCCAGGCAACATTATAAGGCTCTAAGGTTCAGAGAAGGGAGTTCTGTATACCAGGAAACTCACAGGTCCAATCCTAATCTCTGTCTTATGCAGACTATATAGGAAAGAAATAGAGGCCCCTTGAGGAGGGTCAGCAAAGGCTTCTTGTGGCAGGTGGCAAGGAAGCCAAAGCAGGTAGGTGCCAGCGGTGGGGAGGAAGAGCATCCCCAGCATGGGCAAGCCAGGGCAGGCAGGTTCCAATGCATCCCTGCATGGACACAGCCAGAGCAGGCAGATGCCAACGCATCCCTGGATGGGCACAGCCAAGGCAGGCAGGTGCCAGCACTGGGGAGGGATAGCATCCCCAGGATGGGCACAGTCAGGCCAAGCAGGTGCCAATGCATCCCTGCATGGGCACAGCCAGAGCAGGCAGGTACCAGCGCATCCCTGGATGGGCACAGCCATGGCAGGCAGGTGCCTGTGCTGATGAGGGACAATATCCCTGGGATGGGCATGACCAAGGCAGAGGCTCTAGTGGAGAAATAGCGTATCTTGCATGTGGAACAGCAAGGTGGCCAATGTCACCGGATCAGAGTAGAGGGGCAATAAGGTAAAAGAAGCCTAGAAAGGTGTGAAAGTGTCAGAAAAGGCCTTGAAGAGCCAAGCAGAAGATTTTACATTTGATTTTCTAGGCAATAGTGAACCACTAGAGTTTATTGAGCCCTTCAAATCAGTGTTTTGGGGGGGCAAAACATTTGGCAGCAGTATGGAGGAAGGACTGGAGGGTAGGGAGGGACCCAGGAGGAGGCAGCAGTGATCATCTGGGTGAGAGGTGGGAGGCCTGCTCCGGGCTGGTATCTGGGCAAGTGGGGAGAGATGGGCGGGGAGAAGGAGGTGCCCAGGGGTGGCAGCTGATTGGATGTATGGGATGAGGGCAGGTGGGGAGCCAAGGAGAGGACGTTGGCCAGTAGGAGGTGAACCAAGGAGAGAGTGTGAGCCCATGAGTGTCCCCCAAGCCAACAGCTCACAGGTCTCTGGACAGAGCCATTGGGTTTGTGAAGCCCATCCTTTGAGACTATTGGGGAGCTGGGGTGCCACACCATCATCATTGGCAGAGTCATAGCCTCAGCAGCAACTGCCACTGCTGCTCATAGACCGATGGGCTGGGAGTCAGAAGTCCACCTGCCTGTCTACAGGACCATGAGCACTCACTCCACCTCTGCAAACCCCAGTTTCCACATTTGTAAAAGCATGCTTCTGCTCACTGGGTGGCTCTGGGGCCCAAATACCCCAATGCCTACAGCACTTTACAGGCCCTGAAAGTTGGCCAGGTATGGGAGCTGTCGGATTCACCAGTCTTAGGTTCCACATCTCTGTCTCCACAGAACATGGAGGACCAACTTACCCAGGGGGGCCTGCATGCTCTTGTTTACCTCTGTGGATCACGCCCAGGCCCCTGTGATTGGGGTAAGGGTAAACGTGCTCTTAGCTCGATACCTGGTGGAGCCCTGTGGGGCCGGGAGATCCAAGCTCACCTATATGTGCCGGAGTGACCTGAGGTATGCACCTGTATCCCAGGACTTGGGGTGGGGGAGGCAGAGGTCAGGCCAGACCTGGGTTTGATGCTAGGAGGGGACACAAGGCAAAGTGCCTCCCCCATTGGCTTCCATTGGGGATGATAGCTCATGGCCATGAAGGTGGAAGACCCATGTTCTCTGCTCAGCCCTCTAGCACCTCCCTTTCTCTAGGTAGCTCCAAGGGCCTAAGCAGCATCCCCAGGGCAGTAGCACCTTAGAAACAAGCCTGTCTACTCTAAACCAATGGGAAGCCTTCCTGGGATCTCATCCTCTCCTGACTGGGGGCTAATTCCCACTGATTACAATCCACACTGCTAGAAGAATTATTGCTGTAAGCGAGGTCCCTGTAGACCTCCCCAGACTAAAAGCTGGGGCCCAGGGGGGTCAGAGGATCAGAGAATCAGAGACATTGAGCTGGAAGGTCCCTGAGAGGTAACCAAGGCCAACTCCCTCATTTAACAAAGTGGGAAACTGAGGCCAGGAAGTCACAGGACCATAGACTTAGACCTGGAAGGAACCTCAGAGATCATTGAAGCCAGCCCCCTTTTGATACAGAGGAAGAGATTAAAGTCCAGAGTAATGGTCATAGACGCATAGATTTGGGGGTGGGGGGAGGAGACCTTAGAGAGCATGAAGCCAACCCCCTCGTGTTGGATGAGGAAACCAAGGCCCGGGGAGGCTGACGTGGACAGCGCCCTTGACAAGTGAGGCATGCTCTGGTGAGGATGACCAGGCTGGGAAAGGAACCATAGACCATGGCACGCAGTCAATCAGCAAACATTTGTAAACAAATGCCTTCTTTACATAGATTCTGGGCCAGGTGCTGGGGATGCAAAAATGGACCAACAGAAGAAGCAGATATCACAGAGTCAGTTTGCTTACTTGTAACTGAGTACAGGGGGATTTCAGGGTGGAAGGAGAGGCATCAGAAAAGGGCTCACATAGGAGGTGGCCGCCCTTGAGCTGAACTTTGAAGGAAGCTCAGGCTTCTAAGATGCGGCTATGAGGAGGGAGCGCATTACAGGCACAGAAATAGCCTATGCAAGGGTAGAGGTGGGAGATGAACTGTGCTGGGTGAGGAATAACGAGCAGGCCACTGCAACTGGCCCCAAGGGGGCACAGAAGGGAGGAGTAATGTATGCCTGACAGGGCAGACTGTGTAGGGCCTTCAGCACTAGAGCTCTTCTGTGAGACTAGAGGGAAAGGTGGAGCCATGGCCAGATCCATGCCAAATTTAGGAATGATGCTTTCTCAGCTGTGCAGAGGGTAGATTAGAGAGGAGACAGACTGGATGGAGGTGGGGAGACTGAACAGGACAATACTACAAAGGATGGCATGTGTTTAGAATGGAGAGGAGAAGATTCAGGGGACCCCATCTTCAGGCATTTGAAGAAGACAGCAGACTCATTCTGTCTGACCCCAGAGAGCAGAACCAGGGGCAGCAAGGAGAAGTCAGAGGCAAGTTTAGGCTTGAGGTCACGGGAGCTGTTCCCGAGTAGAAGAGGCACCATGGAGGGCACCAAGCAGAGTCTGGATAACCAGTGGTCAGGGATGTTTTTTGTTGGGATTCCTCCCTGGATGGGTCAGCCTAGAGACTGCTGAGCTCCCTTCCAGCTCTCAGATTCTGTGATTCCCAGTTAAGCACTTGCTGTATACTAGACTGCCATGGTCAGTTTAGAGTCATGAGAATAATAAAATGTCTTAATGTTTTGTGTGTTGGGAATGAATCCAGACGTCTCCCGAAGTACCATCACCTTTCTTCAGCATTGACCCTCCCAGCTGGTGACTCACTTTCTCCTTTTGCTTTAGGGGCCACATACCGGAATGGTACACAAAGGTATTTGGGCATTTGTGTGTAGCTGAAGTGGTGAAGATCCGAGATTCTTTCAGTGGTCCAAGCTCAGATTCCAAAGATGGGAAATCCAGGTGACGATAGACCCACAGGCTGAGACTCTGCATCTGGCCCAAGAGCACCGAGGGTTTTGTTTCTAGACAAATGGGCCAACCTTGGGCAGGATGGATCAAACCACAAACCAGGAACCAAGCTGGGCAGTAATCACACAATAGATGCATCACAAGAGCTTATCTTGACTGGAACACATGGCCCTGTGGAAAAATGTCTTTGGTACCATGTTGAGATTGCTTCTGCGAAGCAGGACTCTTAGGGGATAAGATGAAGAGACTCCCTTCTCCTGGGCTGTTGCCCTTGAGTGGCCCTGGGCTGGAGGACAGGTAGAGCCGCCACAGGAGGGGGTGTCTGGGTGGGGATATGGGTGTTTCTCTCCAACGCCAGCATTGAAAAATGAGTTTTCGTAGAGAGATGTGTGTATGAGCGAGTGTCCATGACTGAATGTGGAGCAGACACGGGGAGTGGGCTCTGTGAGGCTGGCAAGCCACCAGAACAGGTGAGATGTTTCCATTGTGTTATCTCTGACCCCTCCAGGGACCAATGAGGAGTAACCCTCATGCATCAGGGGAGTCCAGCAAACTTCCCCAGAGGATCCGTTTCCTCCCTTTGTCTTTAGGGGAGCCAGAGAGGGAGATTTCAGCCTGAGTGGACCCCCTTTCATCCACATGGTTAGGAGCTGCATTCTGAGGGTCCCATCTCTGCATTGCAGTGAATCTGCTCTCACCATGGATGATCCCACACTGAAGGTCCTATCTCATTCCCAGTTGGTTTTAAGGCAGGAAAATTAGAATCCAGCAATAGGGGTATTTTGTTTTTTAAAGAGCAGAGGTTAGGATAAGGATGAAGAATATGCTGGTGCCAAAGCTAAAATCAGAATGAGGGCCACACTTTCTGGTGATTTCTATCAAAAGGCAAAAGCTTCTCATCATAACTAAAGTCCATTCTATATTAATGTCCACAGCAGAAAATGTTGAAGGAGGGGGGAGCCCCATGTCTCCCTAGAAAGTCTGTGCAAACCCAAGGCACCACAAGACGCTGGAGTCTTTTTTGGTCAAGCCCTCCTTGGTGCGCCACCATTTTCCATTCTTTCATCTCTTGGGTTTCCTTGCTCAGGCCATGATTCCAAAGAGCTCTTTTAGCCAGGAGCTCCTCCTGCAGGTGCCCATGTCATGGTGGGATCCGTCTCCACCAGCCCTGTGTTCTTGGATCCCCCTCTTTTGTCCCAGTCAGTCATGGACTACTTGCAGGTGAGCATGGTCAGGAAGGCTTGTCCGTGGTTGATTGTGCACCTCAGTTACCGTTGTCAGTGTTACTTCAGAAGCTCCTCTTGATGAAGAGACTGTGTGTGTGTGTGCGTGGTTGTGTGTGTGAGGGGGAGCAGATCAGATTCAGCCACAACGTGCCGTCAGGGTTCTTGAATACGTGCTCCTTGTGAATACCTAGACCTTGTAGATTCCGTCTTGAACCTCTTCCATGGAAGATTGTATGTTGACCATACCGTCCCATTGAGTAACACAGGTAAGGCATGCTACAGAGTATTATTTAAAATAGACTTGTATTTATGTGTCAGACAGTCTTTGGGTTTTATACCTCAACTCAACACCTTTGTGGGTTTTTTTCCTTTATTGTAAATGAAGCTTTTCATGACGACCGGGGAAGTAAATGAACAAGGAAAAGATTTATAACTCGCTGCGAATGGCTGTCCAGAATGTAACCAACAGTTGCACTATTAAATGTTTAACACGAGGGGACTGCCTAGCTTTGTTCATTCTCCCTGACATTCCCCTTTTTACCAGACACACCCGTCCCACTCCCATCAGGCTTGAGGATCTCACCCCAAATGCAGTGGTTGCTTGGAGGAATGTGCTCAAGATCCCAAGGAAAGAAAAGATTCAGGACTGTGCAGTCTCCAGCCTGAGCAGGAACAGTGAGGAAACTGAGGCAGGAAAGTTGGAAGTGGAGTATTAGCTTCAGAAAGGTGGTGAAAACTGAACTCCAGCTTCAGCTGTTAACCTAAAATGTGGGACTTTGCTATGAGTTGGTCTTTCTCATCGACACATTTGGCAAGATAAACATTCAAGAGGGAGAAATATTCAATAATAACAATCATACCTATTTACGTGATTTACCTTAGGGGTTATGGATCAGAGGTTTACAGCCAGAAAGGTTCTTAGGGGCCATTGCATCCAATGCTTTAATTCTCTAGGTGAGAAAACTGAGGCCAGAGGGATGATGGATCTCATTTCAAAGACCCTCCAGGACCCCAGGGTTTGACCTAACCAGCACAATGTTATTCATAGATGAGGCATCGGGTGGGCTGGGCGGGGGGAGTCCTCTCCAGAGATTCTCTCTTCCATTTGAGCTGTGAAACTGCCTTGATGGATTTCAGTACAAACACTCTCGTGGAGAAAACCTCTAAACATTTTACTCCTCCCTTAATAAGAGTAATCAGAGTGTCGGTCACCAAGCAAATTGCACTAATTGTCATGTCTTCTAAGACAGGAATTTTTTTTTTAACACAGAAATTCTTGACCTTTTTGGAGTCACGGACCTTCTTGGCATCTTGATCAAGTCTATGGGCCCCTCTTCAGAATCATGTCTTTAAATCCATAATACAGAACACACAAGATGACCAAGGGTCACTTGAACTCTTGTCCTCAAAGTTCTAAGGGCAACCAAGATGGGTGGGGGCTTCTGGTACTGTGCTTCCTGAGCCCCTACCCATATGCTACCCATCAACAATCAGCCAGGTGATTCCATCACCTTTTAGAAGAGAGTTTACTAAAAGGATTGAACCACAAATGCCCCCTGCAGGAGGCTTTGGCTGGTCAGCCCTTCCCTCCTCCCTCACTTCCCCCTCCTACTGCTAGTGCTTTTCCTCTGAGATTGTCTATACTGTCTGTCTGGTATGTCCATACATAGCTAAGACATCCCCTCCCATCAATTCCTTCAACTAATTATTTATGATTATATTTTGAAAGTTATTTTTTAATATAAAATCAGACATCTAATGTAGCAAATAGAGAGCTGGCCCTGGATATAGGAAGGCTGAGGTGGAGTCCTGCCTCTGAAACATAAGTGGCTATGGGAACCTGGGCAAATCACTTAACCTCTCGTTGCCCTGGGGAAAAAAAATGTAAATCAACTAGCATTTCTTGAATGCCTACTTAATAAATAAAATAAATATAATTCAAATGAGAATATGTATAAAGCATTTAGCATAGAGCCTGGCACATATAAACCCTTGGTCCTGCCCCCACTATATGCCAGGCACTGTGCTAAGCTCCAGAGATACAAAGAAAGGCAAAAACTGGTCGCTGCTTTCAAGGACCCCACAGTCTAACAGACAAGATGCAAACAATTGTGCATGATAAAGAAGATGCATACAGAATGAACTGGGTGTCAGAAGAGAGACACTTGTGTTGAGAAGAACTGGAAAGGCTTCTTGCAGAAGGTGAGATTTTGCTTGGGACTTGAGAAGCCAGGAGAAGGGGATGAGGAGAGAGAGCATTCCAAGCATGGAGCACAGCCAGTGCAAAGGCTAGGAGTCAGGAGACCAAGTGTCATGTACAAGGAACAGCAAGGAGGCTATTGTCACTGCATCAGAGAATATGGGAATAAGTCTGGAAAGGTAGGAAGGGGGGATAGAAAGTGATTTAAAAGCCAAATACAGCCTTCTGTTGAGTCTGGAGTCAGGAAGACTAGAATTCAAATCCAGCCTCTGACCCTCACTAGCTGTGTGATCCTGGACAAGTCACATAACCTCTGTTTGCCTCAGTTTCCTCATCTGTAAAATGGGAAGAATAATAGTAACTACCTCCTGGGGATGTTGTGAGGATGAAATGAAGCAATATTTGTAGAGCACTTAGCACAGTGCCTGCACATAGTAGGTGCTATATTAATAATTGTCATCATTATTATTATTTGATATTATATCACTTGGAGTTGACTGAATAGGATGTGTGACAGGGTCAGACCTGAGCTTTCGAAAGATCAGTTTGGCATCTGTGCAGAGATGACCTGGAGTGGGGAGAGACTGGAGGCAGGCAGACCCCCCAGCAGCCTTGCCATGGTCCAGGTATGAGGCGATGGGGGCCTGCCCCAGGGGCCGCAGGGTCAGAGGAGAGAAGGGGGTATCTACAAGGAGATATTGGGGAGGTCAAATGGACAGGGTTTAGCCACAGCTTAGATGGGGAGGAGAAGGGGAGAGAGGAGTTTCAGAGGACCCCCAAGCTGTGAGCCAGGGAGCTGGGAGGAAGGTGGTGCCCTCCAGGGGATGGGCCAGGGAAAAGGCCACATCCCAAACTGAGCTTATGGACCTGAAAATGTCAAGGGGACAGTCTACTGGAGATGTCCATTAGGCAGTTGTAGATGTGAGCCTGGAAGTCAAGGGAGAGGGTGGAGCTGACAAATAGAGGCACTAGATAGTAGAGATGAGAATTTAACATCTGGTAACTGAAGGGATCATAGCACAGAGAAAGGAGAAAAGGTGGTGAGAGCAGTGTCTTGGAGGGTGCACACACCATGAGCAGGAGGATTCTGGGAGAAGATTCAGCAAAGGAAGCTGAGAAGCAGCGGTCAGATAAGGAGGGGGAGAATTAGGAGAGAACACTCATGAGACCTGGAGAGAAGAGAGCAGCAGAGACAGATACGAGGGTCATCCACTCAAAGGCCACAGAAAGGCCAAAAGGATGAGGATGGAGAAAAGGCCAGGGGGGTTGGTAGTCAGGAACCGAGTGTAGACAGTCTTTCCCAGGCATTTAGCTACAAAGGGCAGAAGAGCTAGAGGGTAGGTGTTTTTTAAGGTGGGAGACGCACGGATGTGTTTGTAGACAGAGGGGAAGCAGCCAGTGGTGAGCAGGATGATGACTCTGTTAGGGAAGACTCTTATCCAGCTAAGAGAAACACACCAATCTGCACTACTAGAGGGAATTTCCTCACCGGAAAGCTCCCAATGCCAATGAAATCACAAGCTCAGGACCCATCCCCTATCCCAAATAGTGTTCAAACCTAGAAGGCTGCCATAGACATTTTGGCATCAGATTTTAAGGCAAAATTTTCAAGAAATGATAAGAAATGCTTACTCGGACAAATTGGGCAGCTAGTAGAGCAGAGGATAAGGAGTGCTACACCCATAATCAGGAAGACCCATCTTCCTGAGTTCAAATCTGACCTCAGACAGTTACTAGCTGTGTGACCCTGAGCAAGTCAACTTAACTCTGCTTGCTTCAGTTTCCTTGTCTGTAAAATGAGCCAGAGGAGATAGCAAACCACTCCAGTATCTTTGCCAAGCAAACCCCAAATGGGGTCATGGAGAGTCAGATCCAACTGAAACAACTAAATGACAGCTGAAGGGACACACGAAGGAATAAATCGTTCACCACCTTTCTGGCCGGCTGGGGAGTGGCCAGGAACCTGGAGGCCCAAGGTCTCCCTTGGGCTCAATGAACACACAGAGAAGAATGCATATGCCCTTTTTTTTTCATTTTTAAAGTATATTTTGTTTCCAGTCAGTTTATTTAAGACACTAAATATGAGATGGGAATGTTTGGAAACAGAGCCTGACCTTTGGCCAGGTCCCATAGAGAGGGGCCCATGGCCCCTGGGAGCTAGCTTCTCTGAGAAGGCAGCCAGTGGTGTTCCACACTCTAGAGTTCCACATGCTGTCCCTTATGTTCTCCACAGCAGCTGGGGAGATACTCAATCATTCATAAAACCAGAGAGAATTCAGTGTGCCTCTGAAAGGGGAGAAGAAAGCACATTCTAACCCTGAAAGGCTCAAACACAGCACTTTTCTTCTCTCCTGATAAGGCCACAGTTCACCTGGAAGGGCTACTCCCCCAACCCCTCCCTCCTTCCCTCAGAGGGTCCAGGCCTAGGAAAAGGAGGCATTAATGAGATGAGTGATGATGATGGGGCCTTCAGGAAGACAGAAAGGGAGGTGGTTTGGGTGAAAGGAAGATGTCCATAAACCACACTGCTGAAACTACAACTGAATATGACAGTTCCACCCTCATTCTTGAGATCTGCAGAGAAAGTCAGAGTTGGAGGGTTAAAGTCACACGGCCACAGGCAGAGAAAGAGAGCACAGAGAAAGGCCAGTTAAGTACAGGAGCAATTTCTCATGAACCAGAGTGTCAGAGGGCCTGGAGATCCCCAACCCCACTGCCCTCCCCCAAAGCCCATCGATGAGCCAGGGCTCTCCCCTGCCTGTTGGCCCTGTGTGTGATGGGGCCACTGAGACATATGTGTCACAGCAATGAGGCTCAGTGTGGCACCCGAGCAGGACCTTTCTCTCCCTGACAATTCCATGAAAGGAATCTGCTGACTGTGAAAGTTAGTGAGGGTGCGATGCAGCCGATGGCCACAGGGTGGCAACATTGCACGGGGAATAATGAGCAAAGGTGGCGCTCTGAATAAAGGATGGAATAAAGGCAGCCAGGAGCTCTTGGCCAACGCCTTTGTAGTCTGTTCCGTCCCATTGCTGGCCTTCCTCAATTAGAAGAGCCTTTGAGTTCCAGTCCTACTTCTGACTCTTACTCCTTGTGTGACCTTGGTCAGGTTTCTGTACCTCAGTTTCCTCAACTGTCTGATGGGTAAGGACGTGGAGTAGACAGGCTCTATATGGGGGGGGAAGGGGTCCTCTTCCAGGCTCCAGGGGGACATGCCCAGAGCACCCACTGTCTTCAGTGCCGCTCCTTCCCTAAAGCCCCCCCACCTCTCTCTCCTTCCCAAGGCCAGATGGT